GAGACACTAACCGGCAGACATTGGAATCGAATCACAAACTATGGAGTGACGTCTCGACTCAAGTTATTGTTCAACGCTTCTTCGGTTTTAATGGCTTGGCCAGGTTTACATTCAGTGTGTAGTTTGGAAAAGGGGTGTAGATGGGTAACGTTGGCATAAAGGCGGAGACAACGATTACACTTTTGGTGTTGTCCGCCTTTATTCTGGCTTGGTGGAAGTTTTGGCTCAAGGCAGTTACTTTTCCCTGATTTCTTCTGTCCAGATCATTGTGGGTTTGTTGCTTTGGTGAATTTTTTGAACAACTCTAATAGAACTTTTTTCACACAGTGAGAGAGCGATGAGTTTTAAACATTACTAATGAACCTGCAGCTCTCGCATAAATGGATTTTCTACTGTGAATGAAAGAATTTATCTGATTGTTTGGGTCTATGGTGAGGAATTTGGAAGGAAGTTTAAGCTTGATGATGCTCAAAATTACTTAGCTCAATTGCAGAACAATGTTTATGAGACCCAATGGGGCGTGGTGTGAATATTTAGGTTAATAAGGAGGTAAGAGATAAAGTTGGACAAAAAATAAGATATAAATGGTTCACCTTAGCCGATGGACCAATGCTATATCCACTACAATGGAGACTCTTGCTCCTTAGTGTTTATATTGCTTGAAGAAGAAGAAGAAGATTACAGTGGGTTTTTGGGCTTAGAGCCTTTGTATACAATGTCTTGTGAATACAATTTTTTGAAACTCTCTTATACGTTGTATCCATGTTCTATTTATACAAGTAATCATCTAGGGTTTCCTGCGATTCCTTCCTTCCCTTGGCTGATTCTGTGTTCCCCTCTTCCTTTGTCATGTAGTGGTGTCTACCATCCTGACATAAATTGTGCCCATAATCCTTAAACAGAATGTGTACAAATATTCCCTTTATCAGGGAGTACGTGTTCGTTAGGAGTTCTAGAAATTGTCCCCCTATCCCCTGTACACGTGGCGCGACGGGAGGTGCTCGGGATCTAATGAATACCGAGCTCCTTGTTTTTGGGTTGATTTTTGCAGAGCTTGATGTGGCCGAGCAAGAACATATCGATCTAAGAGTAGGGGTGTCTATGGGTCGGGTTACCCACGGGTCCCGTTACCCGGCCCGAAGCCCGATAGGCCTGATAGTTGGTCCGCTTGAGTTCGAGCCTAATATCCTTTAAGAAAGAACTTGAGTTTACCCCTAAACCCACTACCCAGCCCAAAGGTCGAAGCTCTGCCCAATAACCCGCCCACATACCCGAAGCCCACATATCATATATATAATAAACATATCTATACTATTAATAAAAGTACACTATTTAGAAAAACTTTTGATTGACTACTTTAACCCTAAAACAATATATAAAGACAATACTTGTCTTATTTAATTTAGAACTCATATTAATAAGACTAGATTGATGTTAAACTTTTAATTGGACAACTTGACTCTCACAATACTAACATTATTAATATGGAATTTATATTGATAAAACTTCATTAATATTACACATAGTCAAGCATTTCATATTCTTTCTTTTAAAAGATAAAAATGAATTGTTAAAATAATTAAATTTACTATTATTTATTTCTATCTATTTTTATTAATTGATGACAAGTTTTTGAATTTTCAAATGAAATTGCATAAATGCACTAGAGTCTTATTTAATATAAGATTTATTTCAATATAATTTGGATAATATTATCAAACCCTTACTTTTCATTTTCTTCTCTTTTATGTTTTAGTTTTAATAAATCCTCTTTAGTTATGTTTATTGGTAATACTAGAAGCCATTTTATTTGTATCAATTATCAATGCTACGAGTATGTTCAATATTACATTAAATTACTTACTACAACTTAAATTTTTAAATTTGCTCAACTAATTTTTATAATTAAATGACCACCATAACTTAAAATAGTTCGCTTCCAATAGGTCCAACACAGCCCGCCCAACAAAAGCCCTCCCAAACAGGCCTGCAAAGTCCACCCAGTCAGGCCCGCCCAGAAAGCCCACCCGCAAAGCCTGCCCAATATGTGATGGGCTGGGCTACGGGTAGCTTACCCTTACCCGAGCCCAGCCCGGCCCGGCCCATGGACAACCCTATCTGGGCGTCGTTGGATTCTCTTCTTTAGGTTGTGGCCTATTCTTATTGCGGGGTGGGCAAGCTGCGGTTGGGCCATTTAGGTAGCCATTGGATGCTTTGGGTCTTGGATGGGCGACCCAAGCCAAAATTTTACCATCATCAGTTGCCCCCAGCCCCAAGTCACGAGGGTGACATTTCAGCTCTGATCCGGGTTAAATACGTCTTTTTCAAGGTCATGACTACTTTCATGGATGACGATTTCACATGATTGCTGGTGCTGCCCTAGGGACGTGTTGTGTTAGACCACTTTGGCTTTGATGGGACAGATGTGCTTGAGGGGAGACACGTGTCATCTGGAGGAAGATCCTCTAATACGATTTTCTCTGCACGTTCTTTTCCACATCTCATCGTGGTAATAAATGTTGTGTATAAAAAGGGGGAAAATCCTTTTTTGTCTTTCCCACTCACATTTTGAATTCCTATCTCCTCGCGTTTCTTCTTCCTTCTTCTGGGTTTTGAGACAATTGTTTTACGTTCTCGGTGGTCCAGGGATTCTACGTTTTTTGTTCTTCCACGGTTCCATTCTAGCTTCCGGTTAGGTACATCCTTTCCTTATCTTTCTTTTCTTCGATCTAGATCCCTTTAACCGTCCCTGGTGAGGTTTCGGGTTTTTCTTCCTTATTTAGAGATTTAGCTATTTCCATAATCACTTTGGAAATTTTGCGTCCCTTTCTCGATTCATAGATTATCCCCTCCTATTAAGGTTATCCTTACTTAGAACTTGGTGTTTAACTCCCCTATTCTTGACTGATTGCGCTTTACATCTGTCCCCTTTATATTCTGATCTATAGTTTTGGCCAAAAACGGGGAGGGTGGTTTTCAATTCTTCTTCTGACTCTGAGTTTGAGGAAGAGGTTGATGAAGTCTCTGCAACTTCTTTAGTGGCCACCACTGGTGATATATTGGTTGGGGAGGACCAATTTTTCTTGTCCTTAGCAGAAAACTTTGAGTTTCTTCCTAGGGAGCCAACTGAGGAGGTCTTGGGGTTGGCTCTCGAGACTTCGACCTCAACCCCTTCAGTGGAGGCTACTTTAGCATTGCCCCTTATTCCCCTAAGTCATCCTAAGAAGAAAAGATCCAAGAGCGTTTCAGCTTCTACCCCTAAGAAGGAAAAGGCTCGTCGAGACCTTTCCAACCTGACATATTGTGCTAAATCAACCTCGAGCTACCTTAACGATGAGGACTTCGAAGCTCTGAGGGAGAAGTATTCCTTTCTAGAGTCGGTCTTACTCCATTCTCTTGGGGAGGATGAGAGATGCAATTCTTCCATTCCTAGAATGACCTGTTTTTTCGAGTTGGCTTTTCGTGTTGGCCTCCGATTTCTTGCCCATCCTTCTATCTGAGACATTCTTGCTTTTTATAATATCTGCAGCTTGGGTGTCTCCAAATGGATGGGGTCTATAAGTCAGCTTCCTTATACACTGGTTTGAGAGTGAAAACAATTATCTGCCCACAATTCACGAATTCACCTCCCTATTCCAACTCAAATTCTCTCATTCGTTGGACTTCCTCTACTTTGACAAAAGGGTGAAGGCGAAGAGTTTGATTTTCGGGCTCCTATCTTCTAACAAATGGTGGAAGTTGAAATTTTTTTTTGTTGAAGGCGATTCCTGGGAAATGTCAGTAGTACCTGGCGATGTTCCTCACATTCCTCAGTTCTGCAAAGTCCCAATGAACACTTGTAAGGCCAACAGCTGGCTATGTTTTTTTATATATCTAATGGCAACATCTTTTATTCATGGTTGCTATATTAACTTGTGATTTGATTTACAGATTTTTATCTGGTTCTCGATGCTACGAAGGCTGCTAGGGTGGACAAGGCAAAGGTTTTCGGTTTAAAGTCTTTTCTAGATTTGGTGACCGAGGAGAACCTTGTGAAGCACAAGATTGGGCCCTAGGTGGACACACGTTCTTCTCATGTTTTGGAACTTTTGCCTACCAACCTGCCCGAATAAATGGACCCTAAGCTCATCATAGTGGCCTTTTCTGATGCTGAGAAGAAAAGGAAAAGGAGGAAGCTGGTAAAGACCTCTGAGCTGCCTCCCTAGGAAAGGCTAGTGCTCGCTTCCCTAGAGCAAAAGCCTGAGGACTTGGCTTCTCTTGAGGGTGGCACCTCCTCTTTCATGCCCCTCGAGTCATCCAAGAGTAAACCCCCATCAAAAAAAGGTCAAACCTTCGAAGGTATTCTGCACTCCTATCCAGCCACCTTTGTTTAAGGGGAAGAAGGGGGAAGTCAGTCCTCTTTTCTTCACGACCCTAAGTCGGCTGTGAATTCCCTTGTTGATCTGGTCTCAACCTCAGACCCTAAGGTGGTCATGTAAGTCAGTTTTAAAAGAAAGACCAGGCACACCTTCCAAGGCATGGCTGAGGTATTGCTCACTTTCTTCTTTCTTGCTGGGTTATTCCATTTTGGATCCTTTTGTCTCCAATTTACACTGATCATGTCTTCTTGTTAGTCCTTGGCGTGCGTGAATATGATGGAATTCCATCATGATTGTCTTATGACTCAACTAGCTGCAAAGGAGCACGAGTTGAGAGATGTATAGGTCGCCGCAAACATCACTGAAGCAGGGAAAGGCATTGCTGAAGGAAAAGTGGTTGTTTTGGTTGCCAAAGTGTCCGAGCTACAAAGGATCTATGACAACCTGAACACCCATTATGAAGACTTTGCCAAACTAAAGAATGCCCGACTGAAGGCCAAGGACAATGAGCTAAAGTGAAAGATGCTGAGGTGGCATCTCTAAAAGGGAGGACTGATGAGCTCCTTAAACAGGTTATTTCCGTCTTTGTGAAGGGGTTCATGAACTTTCAAGACCAAGCTGAAAAGGCATATCCTGAGTTAGACCAGCGGATGCGATTGGGGAGGCCACTATTGAACCAGTTGATGTTGGCGAAGAAGCTTCTACTAAGCCCGTGGATACGGACAGGGTGGTTGTTGCTGAGGCAGCTGGTGAAGACAGGGAGCCCATTGCTAAGGTGGTTGGTGAAGGCAAGGAGCCCACATCATGAACTTCGCTCTTAGCTGCTGCTAACTCTTGTTTGTTATAATTAACTTTTTGTACTTGACGTTTCCTTCCCGTGTTCTATCCTTTTCTGTTAAATGAAAGACTTAGCATACTTTCTCGCCTGCTAACTCCTTCTTTCTCATTTTTTTTTAAACTAGTAGGTAATAAATTTTATCATGGGTTGTGCCCAACATGGCCTATTGTCGAGGTGGCACCCAATGTTATGCTATGATTGTGATGTTTTGCTAAGGATTACCCCGACCTTTGTGGAACTAGGGCTACCCCTTTCATGAGTTAACTTGGCTTGTTGGGGTTATTTTGGACTTATTTCATTCCTTTTCGTGTATTCCAAACATGACATTTTCATTTGGTTAGGAACGTGCGTCACCGATGGTGGTGGTGCCTCCTTGAAAGTAGCGTCCATCTTGCCCACGTTTGCCAAGTGTTTGTGGCATTAAATATGATTGATGAGCATTAATGGCACCCTACAAACATGATGTGCGCCTGTTTGCAATATTTATAAATAGACTCTTTTGTTAGTAGATCTTTTACATTGGTGTTGAAGCTTTTCTTCCTTGTTCTTGTTTTCCACTTTAGGGTTTCTCTCCTCTAGCTTTTTCCGTATCCTATTCCCATGGCACAAATGCCCACCTTCTATCACGACTCTCAACGGTTGGTCTTTCCTTATGTTGACACTAGTGAGATTAATGGTAAAGAGGCTAGAACAATTGCTAGTCATTATGTTTTTCCCAGCAGAGTGACCTTCCATGTTGTTGAACGCCATCCATTTCATCGTTTCTTGAGGTGTTAGGTCTATTTATTTGAAGTCCCCTTTCAATTAGGGCTTTGATTCCCTATTCTTCTCTTTGCAATGGAGGTTTTTCATTTCTTCAGTTGTTGCCCAATCATGTTACTGCCTGTTGGGTGGGCAATTTTGTTAGCGTTCCCTATGTTGTGGGAGTGGGTGTTCACTCATCCTCGTGCCACCTTGGCAAAGTTTCTTAATTTTTTTCATTCAGCGGAAGTGTCCGAGTTCTATTACTTTGCCCTACGGCAGGGGGAAGATATTCCTATTATTGACCTCCCTCTTGAGCCTGAAAGATGGAGGATGAGGTACTTCTTCGTGTCCGAGACGGATTGGGAGTTTGATCCCCAAGTGATGTCGCCGATCAGGGTTCCTATGGTTTGGGGGAGACGTGGCCATCTTGGTGAGTTTCCTTCTATTGATTTGCCCCTGCTGTGCTTGTCAAGATCTAACTTGGCTTGTGTCCCTATTCCTTTGTGTCACAGGTGAGTATCCGACCTTGACTGGTGAGATGCAATCCCGGGTTGATCAAATTCGAGTTCAGTTGCCCTTTTCTTACACAGAGTTCATACATCCCAGCTAACCGTGGTCCTAAGCAACTGTAAGTATCTACCATTTCTTTAATATTAGGCTATATCTTTCTGGTGAGTCCCCTCAAGCTTACCCTTTGATCGCCCTTCTTTTCTAGTCCATGTGTACTTGATCAGTGAAAGAAACGTGATTGTAGAGCTAATAGGCCAAAAGAGTCCAGGGTCTCCGGCAAAGAAGGCCAGGCTCACAGAGGATAGCTCAACGCCAACGTCAAGCTCAGCTATATGCCCGAGTTTTCCACCCAACATTGACAAAATGTAAGCGCCCGCATTAGTGTCGAGCTTCCCTGTTGCGCCTGAGGTTCCACCCAATGCTGACAAAGCATCGGTATCAACACTAGTGCCTAGTGTTAAAGAAGAAACGGTGGGGATAGTGGCTAATAATCCTAAATGAGGGTCAGTTCAGCGTGGTTCTTCACCCATTGGCATGGAAGGTTCCAGCTTAGCTCAGCTTAATTTGGCCTCGATTGTTGATCTTGAGGGTAGCCTGTTGGATGATGCAGTTATAAGCAATCGAGCCCTTGTTGAGCTAATTCCCCAGGTCGATCTCTGTCACTCTATCAGCCAGCCTTTCAGAGCTAGGAGTCGAGATGCCTTGCACGCATTTCTTGAGGTAAGATTTATCGTCTTTTGCCATCTCTAACTTCTCTTGTTTCAACTGTATAATGATACATCTTTCTATCTTGACTTCAAGCTGCAATGCATGTTTGTACCCTCAGTGGGGAGATTGACCATCTAAGGGCGAAGACTCGTAGGAGGGACGCTGAGCTATTATGTTGGGGTTTAGCTTTGGAATCTGAGCTAGAGATGGCTCTTGAACAGAGAGCTTGGTTTTTCTGGTAGTTGATTAACACTACCACCTTAGAGATCTCTTTGCGAGAACAGCTGAGGAATCAGTCAGAAAAATTGGCCTCCTTGCAACAAAAACTCGATGCCCAAGCTGATGAGCTAATCTACTATCAAACCGACAAGGTGGTGTTGATGGCTCAAGTGGGTGAATCTCACGCGGTTATTGCTGAGGTTAGGGATTCCTTGACTGTTGAGCGCCAGTTAGTCGAGAAACAACACAAGTAAATCAAGAAAACTAGGAAGGAGGCCGCCAAGGCATTTGTATATAGGTTTTTTGATTTTAAGGACCAAGCAGTCGAGAAGTTTCCTAACCTTTGCCTGGATCAATTCAAGCCTCGATATGACCTTCCTCCGAGTGGCCCCTTAGGTGCTGCTCCGCATCTAGCCAGCCTAGAAACCTTTGTTGCGTTTGTTGTTGTTGTTTCGTTTTTGCTTGTAAAGTGTAATCCTTCTTGTTTACTGAAATGAAAAACACTTTAACTTTTTCCTGGTTTTGCTGGCTATATGCCATATTCCTCCTTTGCCCCCTACTCTAAGGAGGTCTTGACCTGTTTGGAGTACAGATACTGCTTAGGTACTCCCTTGCCCCCTTACTCCAAGGGGGTCCTGACCTATTCAACTAGGTCTTGTGTTGGGTAGTCCTGAGTCGTGCACTCTTGGGCTACGCATATCTGTGCTCTTTGACTTTTTGTCAACTCTTCTCAACTGTTCTTTCTTGCTAGTGTCATACGTTCTTAGATCAAGGTGTACGATTTCAGGGGAAAAATAAAAAATGATTCGTTATTCGTGCCCACCTAACTTCCTAGGGCACTGCCTTCATAATTTCTGCCATGAAATTTCTTCATTATAGGAGTGTAACGGTCCTTTTATCTTGGGACTTCTTACTTTTTGCATTCTCACTTCTCCTTAGAGTTCTTTTTGCATTTTTCTTGCTCCGTGATTGTAGAGCAAGGTTATGACGATTTTTCCAGTGTTGCCAAATTTCTCTATTTCTTTGACTTTGATTTTGACATGCCCCCTAATATAGTCGCTTCGCGTGGAGGCGTCATGTCCCGACGTTGGTTCTCGATGCCCCTAGCTCCCTTAAGGGATGGCTCTAGCATTTTTTATTTATTTTTGGGGATTCTTGGGAGTCTGTTGAGGCATAGTCTGAGCATTCCCGGGTTCCTTGCTCTTGGGGACGTCTTCTAGATAAAGGTGAAGGAATAGTGGTTCTACTCTCCCTTCTTCACCTTTCTTTCTAGGGGATCTTTTGGTTGGTAACTTTTGCTTTGAACCTTAANTCTACTCTCCCTTCTTCACCTTTCTTTCTAGGGGATCTTTTGGTTGGTAACTTTTTCTTTGAACCTTATCAATATTTTTGTTGTGCAAATGGCCCTGATCTAACTCAGAACGAGATCATCAGGGTCTACCAGCTTACTTATGCCAAAACAACTTCCTTTTCCACTCTTGTCACACGTAAGAATCTTTTTCGATTTGGGATTAGTCCTAACTCGACTGTCATTTCAGTTGCTGCTCTGAATCTTCCTCCTCTCATCATTGAAGTAGACTCCTTTTCAACTGGTTCAGATGAGGATGCTGCCATATCTTCAAGGGGAAAAAGGAAGCACCGACAAGGTAGCCTATCATCGTAATCATCAGATTCTTTCTGGTGAAATGAGGTTTACGGCTGCTAAGTTGGAGTTTGCATTAGGGAAAACAAGGCTCAAAAAGTTGCTCTCTAAGGCTGAGAATGAGTTGGATGAGCTAAAGGCCGAGATCGCTCGCCTGCGGGTCATGAATGCGCAGTTGGAGAAAGAAGTCTTTGAGCTAAAGCAAAGATTTAGCGTGGCCTACACTCTTTTTTCCTCTTTTTGTTTTTGTAATCGTGCCACACTTCTGAATATAATTTGACCCTTGCTTATCCTTTTGTCTACTGCCAATTTTAACTAGATAGCTGTTAGGCTTTGAGCTCTCCTCGACTTTGCCCTTTGGAGGGTCGAAAGTCATTGGATTCTGAAGGACCGAGCTAAAAAGCTCTTAGACTGAAAAGCCTAGTTGAGGTTGCGTGGCTGAGGAGCTCGCGACTTTCAAGCTAAAAAGCTCTTAGGTTAAAAGCCTAATCGAGGTTGCGCGGCTGAGGAGCTGGCGACTTTTGAGTTGAAAATCTATGCTGAAAAGCCTAGTTGAGGTTGCACAGCTGAGGAGTTCAGGATTTCGAGAGTTGAATAAATCTTCAAATTATACTGTGCAAGCTTTCTTGGCTAGGACTTTGAAATTTATTGATTAGGAGCTGAAAGTTTACAGTTGACCTTTTCTCCTTCACTATATCTAGCTTCCAATGGTTCTACATGTAACATTGCTTCAAATGGTCTGCGTTCCATGAATGCTATAGGTTCTTCCCCTCTTCGATTTGTAGCTCGTAGTTACCAAGTCAGATCACCCTCTTCACAATGTATGGCCCTTCCCAGTTTGGGCCAAATTTTCCATGTGAAGGATTTTTTCTCACAAGAAGCAGTTTCTTGAGGACTAGATCGCCTGGTTTGAAGCTCATCTTCCTTACTCGTCAGTTGTAATATCTCGCGGTGTTCCTTTGGTAAGAGAATATTCGTCATAGTGCTTCATCTCTTTTCTCGTCCAAGAGATCGAGGTTTACTAGTAGGGACCTTTCATTTTGCTCGGGATCAAAGAGTTCGGCCCTTGCTGAAGGCAATTCGACTTCGACTGAGACCACAACTTTAGTTCCGTAGGCAAGGCTGAATGGGGTCTCACCCATTGTCGTTTGCACCGTCGTTCGATAGACCCATAACATCGCTGGAAGGTGTTCAACCCACTGGGACTTAGAGGCTTCTAACCTTGTCCTCAATGCCAGCTTGATGGTTCTTATGGTAACCTCTGCCTACCAGATGGACTGTGAGTGCGCAGGTGCTGAGAAATAATTTTTGATTCCCAGCTCCGCATAGAACCCCGTGAATCCTAGATTGTCAAACTACTTCTTGTTATATGAAACTACTACTTTGGGGATGCCAAATCGGCTAATTATCGATTTTCAAATTAAATTCTAACCTTCTGCTTAGCTATCTTGGCCAATGCTTCAGCTTCCAACCATTTGGTGAAGTAATCCATTACGACTATGGCAAATTTACACTGTCCGATGCTAGTTGATAGGGGCTCTAGGATGTCTAGCCCTCACTGCTAAAAAGGCCAAGAGCTTACAACATGCATGAACTACTCGGGGGGACAATATGGCAGGTTTCCCATAGATCTAGCATGCTTGACACTTTTTCACTATCTCTATCACATTTTTGGTCATTGTAGGCCAAAAGTGTCCATGTCGAAGTGCCTTACTGGCCAAGGTTCATGCACCGACGTGATTCCCATAGATGCCCTCATGAATTTGTCTCAAGATGTAATCTGCCTCCATCTTAGAGACACACTTCATTAGTGAAAAGGAAAAACCTCTCTTGTAAAACTTACCTTGTACAATGGTGAACCTCACGGCCTTGCTCTTCAACTTCGCTGCTTCCTTCTTGCCACTTGGGAGGAGCCTGTCTTGCAGAAAGGAAATGATGGGGTCCATCTATGAGGTTGTCTCATCGACTAACATGGCTTGGTCATCGTCGGGCTGGACACTTAGTTTAAACTGGATCTCGACAGACGTCATTCCAAATGACTCTTTTTTGGCGCGCGGTAGCCAACTTAGCCAATGCGTCGACTCAAACATTAGCTTCTCGAGGTACCTGAACAAACTTGACCACCACAAATCTCCTTAACAAGCTTCGCACTTTCCTAATATACAAAGCGATCTTGTCATCTCAAGTTGTGTATTCTTCCTCTATCTACCTGACCACTAACTAAGAGTTGCTATGAATAATAACTTATTGCGCATCTATCGACAAGGCAAGTTGAGGTCAACTATAAGAGCCTCATACTCCGCCTCATTATTGGAGGCTTGGAAGTTGAACCTCAATGCATATTCCAGGTCGTACCCCTCCGGAGAGGTCAGAATCAAGCTTGCTCTGCTCCCTTGGGTGTTTGAGGCGCCATCTACATATAATTTCCATGTTGGGACGTCAAAGACACAATCCAGGTTCTCTGTCTGCTCCTCGGGTATTAGGGTGAAGTTTGTTAAGAAGTCTACTAGCACCTGACCCTTAATTGTTATTCTCAGTTTGAACTCAATGTTAAATTTTTTGAGCTCCATTGCCCATTTCACTAATCTTCCCGGATGCCTCAAGTTTATGTAAGACTAGCCTTATCGGTTGATTTTTTGGAATCTCGATGGTGTGCCCTTGAAAATAAGGCCTTAGTCTTTTGGTTGCCATGAGAAGGGCTAAGACAAGCTTCTCCATCTTGGGATATCTTTTTTCAGCCCCCTTGAGGGCCTTATTGCAGAAGTAGATCGGCTGATGAGCTCTCTCTTTGTCCTTTACCAAAGCAGCACTGACTTAAAAATTGGATACGGCAAGGTAAAGGGTTAGGACTTCTCCCTCTCAGGGGCTGACTAATATAGGTGGTGAAGTCCAATATGTCTTTAGATCTTGGAAGTCCTACTCACATTTCTCGATCCACTGGAAAACGACCTTCAGAACCTTGAAGAATGGCTTACACCTGTTGCTAGAGCACAAGACAAACTGATTGAGTGCCACGATTCTCCCGATGAGGCGTTGTACTTCCTGAATGTTAGTGGGAGATTTCATTTCCAAAACAGCTTTTACCTTCTCAGGGTTCACCTCAATACCTCGATTGTTGACTATAAAGCCCAAAAATCTTCCCGTCGAGACTCCGAAAGCACATTTTGCCGGATTCAACTTCATCTTATATTGGCACATGATCTCAAATGATTCTTTGAGATGATAGATGTGGAACTCGAATTTAAGGGATTTGACCAGCATATTGTCAATGTATACCTCCATCGTCGATCTGAGCTTCTCACAGAACATCCGATTGACCAGTCTTTGGTAGGTGGCTCCAACATTCTTCAATCCAAACGGCATAACTTGATAACAGAAGATTTCTTACTCCATAACAAAAAGGTTTTTTCTTGGTCATTGGGATTCATTTTGATCTGTTTGTACCCCAAGAAGGCGTCCATGAATCTGAGGAGCTTGTGCCCAGCCGTGGCATCGACTATCAAATCAATCCTGGGCAAAGGAAAACTATCCTTGGGGAAAGTGCGGTTAAGGTCAGTGAATTCAATACACAGTCGTCATTTTTCATTCACTTTCTTGACTTGCACCACGTTGGCTAACCAAGTCGGATAATCGACCTCCCAGTGGCCGTTGCTCACAATAATTTAGCCACCTCTTCGTTGATCGCCTTTTGCCTTTCTGGAACAAAAACTCCTCCTCTTCTGCCTAACTAGTTTGCAGTTCGAATCAACGTTGAGTTAGTGCACAATCACTCATGGATCAGCTCCCTCCTCTTGTTTCTTGGTGAATACATTAGCATTTTATTTCAAGAAGAGGATGAGTTTGTGTTTGATATCCTGGAGCAACATTGAGCCTACAAAGACCATATGCCTGGGGTCTGAACTGGGTCCAGTTGCTATGAGGGGGTTGGTTGGGTTTTCAGCTCGTCTCTCATATCGAGGTCTTCCAACTGAAAAAACTCTACTTCTTTCTGCCTTGCCGATGCCACGTAGCACTCTCTGGTAAGGCGATGATTTCCTCTCACCACCCCTACCCTATTCTTAGTGGGGAATTTCATAACCAAGTGATATGCCGACGGCATGGCTCTAATGGGGTTGAGGGAGGGTCTCTTGAGTAAGACATTGTAGGTAGAAGGGGCATCCACTACTAAGAAACAAACTATAGTGGTAACTTGGCAGGGGTGGTCTCCTAAGGTGAGGATGAGCTGGATGGACCCAACGGGCAAGACCCTCTCACCCAAGAATCCTAGAATGTGGGTTCTTACGTGTTCAAGTTTCGATTTTTCTATATCAAGTTGATCAAAAACGGAGAGGAAGATGATATCTGTTGAGCCATCGATGTCGACGAGCACACGGTTGTACAACTTTGTTTGCAATGGTGGTTTTTACAACCAAAGGGTCATTATGAGGGTGCTAACATCCTTCCAGGTTGGCGTCCGAAAATTGCTATTTCTACATCCCTGCGCAGGACTTTTCGAATCATTTACACCTCAAGGAAGTCGGCAAACCTAGCCCTCCTAACGTATGCCTTTCTTACCGAGCTGGACTCACCTTCGCCCACAAAGCCGCCTAAGATGACCCTGATTTCCCCAAGGGCCTATTGGTACTGTTGCGAGGGTGCCATGGCAGCTCGATCGTCTCTTTGTTAATCATTCTGCTCCCTCCTTTATCCTGCCACATAGTGCTATAAATGGCCCCTCTAGATTAGGTATTCTATTTCCTTCTTTAGTTGAATGCAGTCGTCAGTCTCATGGCATGTATCTTTGTGGAAGTTACAGTATTTAGTGGGGTCATGTCTCCTGGGATCAGACTTCATATGTGGTGGCCACTTGACAAACCTATTGTTCTAGACCTCATGGAGGACCTGAGAAATGGAGGAGTTTAGGGGTGTAAGACGAGTTGGTGCATATATTAGTTACAATTCCTGAGGTAGAGGACCGAGGCAATCCTTGACATTACCCCTCCATTTTGGGGAAGGCTCTCTGTCTCTCCTAGGAGACCGATCTCTCTGCGGGGATCGATCACCTCTCCTTTCTTTTCTTGGACTGCGTTCTCTCTTCTTCTTTTCTGCTTTGCTTGTAGACGATGATCCTCCTTTTAAGTAAAGGGCCTCCTCATCGTTAATGTACTTCTCAACCTTTGCAAGCACCTCACCCATAGTTGTTTGAGGGTTCTTGGCAATCGAAAATAGGAGGTCCTTTGATTAGAGGTTGAGTCCCAACATGAAAGTGGTCAGGGCAAATTTTTCATCTATACTTTCTAC